TTTTTTCGTCAGGTTTTTGTCAGGTTTTTGTCAGGTTCGACCGCGTGGCGTCGCCAAACGGTCGAACCTGACGGACGAACCTGACAGACGAACCTGACAAACGAACCTGACAGACGAACCTGACAAACGAACCTCACAGACGAACCTGAAAAACTTAATGACGTGACGAAACGGACGGAAAACGGACGAAAAACGGACGAAAAGCTGACGAAAAGCTGAAGAAAGCTGAAAAAAGCTGACGATGACGAAAATTAGAAATTTTTCCAAATTTATACTTCGGATCTAGTTTTTTTTTTGCAACACAGGCCGTTCAGAGCTCAGAAAATTCCTAGGTATCTCGGGGGTTTCCATCACACAATCTCTTCTGAGTCTCTAGGGAGTATGCATACTACCCTTGTAGCTCACCTGCCCGCCAACCATCCTAGGATCTCACTAGCTGATTCAGAAGATATTGAGCGATTTGAGTGACCGAAAGACCACCTAAACAAGGACGATTATATAGGTAGGGTTTCCGTTGCGGCCGACATCTCCAGGGTTCCGCCGCCCACTATACAGGGTGGCCGATAAGTATAGGACGCTCGCTTTCAGCGTTCCCTGGCACGGTGCCAAGGGATATTTTCGAAAAATTTCGAAACTTTTCGAAAGTCCAGAGACTATATAAGTAAGCTTCTCAGTCATTTGTTCTCACTTCTCCATATCGCCGAGCTATGAAAAGTTCTCCTCATCGTCCTTCCATTGAACTCTTGTTCAAGAGAGGCCTCGGAAGTGCTGAGATCGCTCGACGTCTTCAAATTTCGTCTTCGACGGTTCGAAACGTTGCGCTGCTATCAAAAAGCGAGGAGATGCTTCTGAAGTAAAAAAAAGCGGACGTCCACGTTCTGTCAACACCCGGAATACTCGTGCAATCATCAAGAAACGGATCATTCGAAATGATGGATTGAGTCTCAATAGGATGGCGTCACAGCTTGGAATTGCCCGATCCACTGTCCAATCGATTGTCAAGAACGACTTGAAGCTCAAAAGTTACAAACTACGTCGTGGACAGTACCTCTCGGACAAATCGAAAGCGATGCGACTCGAAAAATGCCGAAAATTACTCCAGCACTTTCAAGTGCGCCGCGTCTCTGACGTTATCTGGACAGACGAGAAGATCTTCACTATTGAACCTCTTCCCAACCGTCAAAACCAGAGACAGTTATTGTCAAAGGATGACAGCATGTCTCCGAAACGTCGTCTTGCCCATAACCGCCTTTTCCCGAAAAGTGTCATGGTTTGGGCCGGTATCACGGCAACCGGTAAAACTCCGTTGGTTTTCATTGAAAGAAATGTGAAAATCAACTCGGAGGTGTACCAAAAGATTGTGTTGATGGATAATTTGTTACCCTGGGTCACTCAGCACTTTGCTGGTGGTCCATTTATCCTTCAACAAGACTGGGCACCGTCCCATGGCTCGAGATCGACATTGGCCGTCTTGGAGGCGCATTTCCCTGGATTCCTGGACAAGAACTTGTGGCCTGCTTCCAGCCCGGATCTCAATCCGATGGATTTCAGCGTTTGGGGCATGTTGGAAGGGAAGATCGCGGGAAAAGTTTTTGCTACTGTCGATGACTTGAAGGCCGCTCTCGAGGTAGCATGGGCTTCGATCGACGACGGATACCTGCGGCGCACTGTCAATTCGGTGAAGAAACGTTTGAGAGCCTGTGTCAAAGCTCGTGGATCCAACTTCGAATTTCTCTTGTAAAATCAAATTTTCTGCTTATTTTTTGTTGTTTAATAAAGGTTGTTCTCGAAAAATCCTCAAATTGAAAAAATGGGAGCACTTTCAAAACGTCCTATACTTATCGGCCACCCTGTACTTTGCGTGCATTGAGGGCAGGGCTTAGGTCGACGACCTTGTTAGAGATAACTTTTCATTTTCGAGCAGTTTTCACCGATTTTAAAAATATTTTCTCTGACTGTAAATAAAATCTGAAAAAATGAAAAAAGCGAAAAATAAAAATTCCAGTAAAGGAGCAAAAATTCTGGTCGAAAAAAAGTATAACAAGCGAGACAAAATTACAAGCAAATGAGACGATTCTAGCAGACTCTAGCAAATGATCTTCTAGCAAGTGAGTATTTGCCTCCGGAGGTAGATGGGAACAATAGAAGGGCAGCCCTTCTAATACAGGTTTTACATGTTGCTGATTTCCCACGGAATGTAAATAGATTGAATTCTTGTCTGGTTTCAAAGTACATTCTCCTAATCAAAAATATTTTGGCACCAAAAATTGAAAGCATTTCGTTACTTAACGATTTTTTCCCATTTTAACTTTGTTACCAGTCCACAATTGGAAACAAAAAAACTATAAAAATGTCGGCCACAAAAAAGGAAGATTGATAAGAAATTTGATGTATTCTTATCAAATAAAAATGTCCAAATGCATACCCATTTTTCTTCAGAGCTCACCGCACTTTTATTACATGCTTTATAACATTCTATTTTCTTAGTGATTTTTAGTGATCATTTTCAGAATGTTTCGTTCTCTGCTTGGTGTCGCTTGTCTGTTGGCTACAGTATTCTGTCAACAAGAAAATGATTTGATCAAGGATTTGCCAGGACTTTTGTTCAAGGCAAATTTCAAATCTTATTCTGGATATGTGGATGCTAACGCTAATGGAACATGGAAGATGCATTATATGTGAGTCGACAAGTTTGAAATTCTGTTTTCTGGTCTTCAATTGAGTATGTTTTGAGTATGAAACAGAGAAGGCCCGATTCATCCACTTCATGGCTTATAACTTTGTTCATAGACAATATAAAGTTTTCAAAATATTAGGTTGGCGGGAAAGTCTTTGTCACTTTTTCAATAGTTTATTTCTCAAAGAAAAAATAACCGAATAATTAATTATATTGTCCATCATTATCAACAACATGTCTCCAACGTTCCCTCAATTTATGGATTCCATTGCGGTAGAATCCAGCCGGGCGTGAGGCAACGTATTGTTTGAGTGCCGCTTCGACCGCTCCACGGGAATTGAAGCTTCTTCCTTCGAAGGCACGTGTCATATCGCCAAATAACCAATAGTCGGAAGGAGCAAGATCAGGAGAATACGGGGGGTGAGGGAGAACATTCCATCCATATCCCATCAGCTCCTGCTTCACTTGTTTCGAAACATGTGGGCGAGCGTTATCATGTTGATAGTACACTTTCTTGTCTTTCAGGGCCGAACGGTCGACTGCTTTCTTGAGGTTTCGTAGTTGAGTAGTGTAGAGGTCTCCAGTTATTGTTTTGCCCTCGGGCAGAAGTTCCCAGTAGATGGGGCCGTCCACTCCCCACCACACAGAGAGCATAACTTTTTCGGATGAAGGTCGGGTTTTGGGACATCCTGTGGGCTCTCTCCTTCTCCACCCACTGGGATTTCCTGTGGTGATTATCGTAGAAGACCCACTTCTCATCTCCGGTTATTAGCCGGTCCAGCCATCGATCGCCCGCGTGGAGAGTGAGAAGAGTAATCGAATCGTCGACTCGGCGGTCAAGGTTGGCTTGAGTCAGGTGATGAGGTATGAATCGACCAAAAAGTTTTCTCATTCCAAGAGACTTCAAACCTTCAAGGACTGTGCTATGGTGAACTCCGAATGTGACAGCTAGTTCACGGCTAGATTGAAATGGATCCGATTGCAATGCGTGCTTCAGCTTGTCCAAATCCAACTCACGGGGTCTCCCAGAGCGATCCTTTTCATCGAGCGAGAAGTCATCTTTTTCGAAACGATGGAACCAATTGCGAATAGTATTGTAGTGAGGGGCATGTGTGTTGTACACATTCTTCAAGAAAGTTTCCGAATCCTTCATCGTGGTGTGAGATAGGAAGAGGTAAATCAAAACATGTCTGATGTGAATAGCAGTGGGAACAAACATATCGTTTCAATTACAGATGAGGAGCAGGGAAGGAGATGGGGACTTGTTTATATGGAAGGTTCTTATCACCTTGTTATTCACTAGAGTCGATATCATACACAGCCTCCATATACGAGAACAGTGATTAAACAAACAGAGTGACAAAGACTTTCCCGCCAACCTAATAGTATCATTTTGTAGTGCTTGCCAAGTTCTATCGTATCTAATTTAGCTGGTCCAAAAGTATTGGTCCTAAAAGAAACTATGACAGGGCCCGGTTTACAATTATGCTTTAAACATTAACGTTCAGTTTACAGTAGCCCAAAAATATCATAAATAACTCTTAATGAATTTTATTCCTGCCTAGTCATCATGTTCTGACATAAATTTCCAAAATTTATCATCGTTTTTCTGATTCAAAGTCATCAAACTTCTGTCATCCTAATAGCTTACTCTCCCGTTTTCTTTCCATTTTTCCACCTCAGCAAAATTGCGGTAGTCACCTAATTCAGTCATAATTCTTACGTAATTCTCGCAAAATCTAGTCAGAAACTTACTGATAACGGTGCTGTATTCCTTTGAATATCGAAGCAAATAAAATTTGTGAAAAAAAACTGGGGGTTTTTCCAGGTTGACCGAATCTCGTTCCAATCCAGACACTGATCCATTATTGGTATGGTTCAACGGAGGACCCGGTTGCTCTTCTTTAGGAGGTCTCTTTGAAGAACTTGGTCCATTTTATGTGAACTTTGACGGAGAAACACTTTATGAGAATCCGTACGCATGGAACGCGGTTAGTAATTCCGCATCAATGAATAGAATGAGCATACGCAACAATTACAGAAAGCTAATGTGCTCTATTTGGAATCTCCAATCGGTGTCGGATACTCATACGACACAACCACTCCCGGATACTTCCAAGCCAACGATAACCAAACGGCTGGTCAGAACTATCTCGCTCTTACCAACTTCTTCAAAGTGTAATTGATTCTGGTTTTTCGTAAACTACAATTGTATTATTTTTATTTCAGAGCTCAACCAAAATACGCCAACCGTACATTCTATCTTTCCGGGGAGTCGTATGCTGGAATTTATATTCCAATGCTTACTGATCTCATTGTCCAGGGAATCAACAATGCAACGAACCCTTTCCCAAACAAAAACTTCCAGGTTTGAAAATTATACAAATTTCCGCTAATCTTAATTTTGGCTTTAGGGATCCGCAATCGGAAACGGATTCATGAATGTAAAGGGACTTCTGAATGCACTTGCTTTGTGGAGTGCCTACCATGGACGTGTTTCTGTCCAGTAAGATAAATTGTTGAGAACAGGCAAATTACAGAAATTTGTTTACAGAGACTGGGACAATATTAAAAACAACTGTACAAACAACACCGATATGGACAACTTTGAATTCTCGAAATTTACAACCTCCAAAAATAAGATCGATTACGTTGGAGATGATTCATATTGCGGAAAGTTGATCCAACCACTTATTTCTCAAAACGCAGATAACACTGAAGGGTGGGAGGTTTCTTAAAAATCTGGTAGTCTATCTTATTTTTCAGATTTGACCAATACAATTTCTATCAAGAGTGCTACGACAAATCTGTTTTCCAAGCACCACCACCATCTGCTTCCGGAAAGAGAGTGAAGAGAAGTGCATTGGCTGGAGTTTCTGCTATTCATAAGCAGTACCAACAACTCGGAAGCTTCAAGGGAACGTCTAACTTGGCACAGAACACTGCCGTTAGTTGTGGATACAACAATTCTTGTTGATAATGTTGTATTACAGACTCTTGTTAACCGATTCTCCAATGACAATCAATTCGGATACTTCTGCTGGAACGAAGATGCAGTTGGAAAGTATTTGAATAGCGACAAAGTCCAAAACGCTTTGAATATTCCACAAGCATGGAAAGATCAGAAAAATGGTTGGGAAGACTGTAGAATGTCGATTTACAACAACTACACTCTCACATATGAAACTACCAATCAGTTCTTTAAGAGTATTATCACAAATCTTAAGACCAACTTCCGTTTCTTGATCTACAACGGAGACGTAGATACTGTCTGTAACTATTTGGGAGATGCCAAGCACATCGCGCAAGTTGCTGCTGAAAATGGTCTTAATGTAAGCTTTTTTCCTATTTCATGCACAGTAACGGTCAATAAGATTAACAAAAACGTATTTTTCAGTTGATTTTCGGCCATTTTTAGGAGTCTGAAGCTCTGCTGTCAAGGTTTCAATCACTTTGAAAATTTTGGAGGTTGAAAAACAGATTTAGATTAAGAACTTAGAATTCACAGTTTTTGGAAAATTTTTTTACTAGTTTTTCAGATAATTGCCGATTTCTGAAAGACACCTCTTTTTGGTCTGTTTTTGTACTGAAAACGAAGAAAACAGGTGTCTCTGAGAAATCGAAAAACATCTGAAAAACTAGGAATTTCAAAAAGTTCTAGGAATGCAAAGGTCTCAATAATGCAAAGCTCTGCATGCATAGAAAGATGCCGAAGATGAAAAGAATGCAAAGCTCTCAAGCGACTTGTAAAAAACCCTCAAAATTTTTCAAATTGCTCGGAAACTTCTCGGCTGTCGGCTTGCAACTTCTGGACGGAAGTTGAGGGGCGTTCGATCATGGTCAGATTTTGGTCAGAAGCTGCCCACTGGCAGCAGTGGGACGGACAATGGTCGGATTTTGGCCAGAGTTTGAAAGCGCTGCGTGTTACGAGGTCGGAAGCTGGCCGCTAGTTTGTCGGATTTTGGTCGACTTCACACAATGTCTTTGCCGGAATTCGACCAAGCTCCGGCCTGAAGTGGCCGGTGACGCCCGAGTTGACAGCCAATCTCCAGACTCATGAAAATGGTCAAAATGGCAGAAAATCAACAGAAAACTTTGTTTTTGTACATCTTATTGACAAGTACTGTATTTTTTAACAATAAATTTTTCAGACTCTATCATCACGTACCCCTTGGTATTACTCGGATAACCAACAACTTGCTGGATTCGTTCAATCATATTCTGGAAAAAATGCAAATGGAGCCACCATTATTATCGATGTTTTGACCGTCAAGGGAGCTGGACACATGGTTCCATATGATCGCGCTGGACCTTCAGTTCAAATGATTTCCAACTTCGTGTGGGCTGCCAACAACGCATTCGTCAATTACACTAGCCAGGCTAACTTCAATCCAAACATTCAACTTTCCGAAATGGTCGGTGGCTCCTCTACAACCATCTCATTCTTGTTTGCTGTTTCTGCTGTGTTGCTCCAATTGATTCTCTAATTTTATAAAATGTTTTTATTTATCCCTATAGATTGTCTTCTTTTAATAAAAATGTACATAATTTGAAATTTAGGCCTGAAGAAGTTTTTGTTGTTCTGCAGATTTTGGAGATTCCTGAACAGCGTGATCTTCGGTTTCTTCGATGTCTGGATTGTGCATTCCTAGGGAAAGATGGTAGAACCATCCACCAACAAGAGCACCGACGAATGGGGCAAGAGCAGGAGCAATCCAATAGTTAGGATATGGAGAACTGAAAACAAAATACAAAATCCATGTCAAATGGTAACAGAACTCACTGGAAGACTCCAGGTCCGTAGATGAAATAACTGAAAAGTCGTGGTCCTAGATCTCTTGCTGGATTGATTGGATATCCAATATTCATTCCAAAACCAGTTCCAATCATCATCACCAAAAATCCAAAGAACATTGGATGCCAAATCTTTGGAATCTGATTTCTCTCATCAATAACAACACACAAGAAATAAGCAAGAACACCAGTTCCAACGCACTGATCAATGTATGGACCCCAGACTCCGAGGTTTGGAGATGGATAACTGGCAAAACACCCAGCAGTTCCAGTGGCACCAAGAATCGAACGATTACCGCCATCGAAGGCGTCGAACTGTTCTGAAAATTTACTGATCGAAGTGGTATTTGTTAGACTCAACAACTAACCATAATAATAAGAATACATAGCGAGAGAAGCTACGAAGGCTCCAGCTGTTTGAGCAATTGCATACAGTGGAACCCAAGCAAGTTTGAGATGTCCAAGAGACCAAAGAAGAAGCGAGACGGCTGGATTCAGATGACCACCTGGAATAAAAACATTAAAGTTTCAGGAATTCCTTAAATTAAAATTTTATCTTGAAGTGAAAAGAAGAGGAAAATTGCAACCTTCTAAGCTTCCTAATATTAGGTTGGCCGGAAAGTAACTGTCCATTTTTTGATTCGTGAATAACACAAAAGCAAGAGTTATTCAAGATTGACAGTATGCACCGTCGCGGTCCATGGCATGTTGGCAACATTCAGGCAACTTGTGGATACCATACCTTCAAAAGCCAGCTGGCTGCGACACAAAGTATTTTTGAGTCCAGATTTTATCTCAACTTCAGTGTTAAATTATTTTCCTCCAGATGACGTTGCATATCTCCTAATAATCAATAATAAAAGGGCCGAATCAGGAGTTAGAAGTGCGTAAAGGAGGAACGTCCAGCTAAAGCGGCCCAGGTCTTACTTGACTTACCGTGGAACATAGATTCTCGAGTTATTTAATGAAACTCAATTCAGTCCTAAGACGCTTTGGATGGACGGCTTTTCACTTTCCTTAAACTCCAGACTTGACCCTTTTATTATTGGCTATTCGGAGATATTCAACGTCATCTGGAGGGAAAATAATTTTACACTGTCGATGAGAAAAAAAACGTCCGGGAAGGTATACTTTGATTCACGGCCAGCTGGCTTTTGGAGGTATGGTATCCACAAGTTGCCTGAATGTTGTCAACATGTCGTGGACCACGACGGTGCATATTGTCAATCTTGGATGGTTCTTGTTTTTGTGTTAATCACGAATAAAAAAATGGATAGTTACTTTCCGGCCAACCTAATATCTTTTAAAACATCTTGTGAAACCTGCAATAGAAGAACACCTAGTTTTTAACTTTAAGCCAATTTTTTCCGGTTTCTGCCAAAGATATAAAAAAGTTGTCAACTGATAAATTGTTTATCAGAAGTATTTTGTCAGTTCACAAAATGTTTGTATCTTGCATAGGAATCGAGATAATTGAGCTCAAACTCGACCATGTGGGGGACCTTCTATTGCTTCAAAGTACCTTCGGAAGGCTCTTCTATTACATGGGCCATTTGTTAGATGGAGTTCTTTTTAGTTTTCCGGTCATTATTCGGAAAATTTTCATCCAAAAAAGCTGAATTTTCATGAAAATGTGTCAGTTTCACCAAACAAGGGCAAATTTTTGAGCAAAGAAAGTGTAACAAATTTCTGTGAAATTGTGGAATTTCCTGAATATAATTTCACTGAAAACGTACGGAAAATTTTAATTTCAAACAAAACATTTTGAAGGGGACCCTTCTATTTTTCCAATATCAGATGGGCCCTTCTGTTAGAGGGAGGGGGGGGGGGGGGCTTCTAATGCAAGTTTTTCGGTTATTCTTCATTGGCGCCTTCCTATTTCAAATGTGTTCCCATAAAGACATGTCCATAAAGCCACTTTAGAAATCTACGGCATTTTTGAGAAATTTTTAGGGAACCAAAAATATTTTGAACCCTTACCTGACATTCTAGCCGTTGCCATTACTGCAAACATAATTGCAAATCCCCATCCAATATTAACACCAATCCACTCTGTCGTCTTTCCACCTCCGCGTGAAATTGGAAGACAATTGAGAGACCAATAAACTGAAAGATAGATCTCAGTTGATCATAAACTCACACTTTCTGGAACTTACACATAACAGGAATGTTCCGAAAAATTCAGAAATGAGATTCCTCCATAAAATGTTCGTGTGAACTCCATGGAATCGCAATCTTTCCGGTAGAGTATCTTCTTTTGCAGTCATGATTTTCTAAAAGGATTTCAGATTGATTGGGTGCAGACTGCTCGTAATAAAAAAAGGAGGCATTTTGCTGCTTATCACCAGAAAAAAAAATCGAAAGTGTACTGAAACATTTGTGTTGAAAATAGTTGAAGACATCACCACCCGAAATGAAATTGATAAGGGGGCGGAGTGGAAACAGGGAAGAAGAGGAGACAGGCTTCTTTTGTTGTATTAATCCGTTGAGGAGCCAAAAGCCGACGAGTACACTATGTCAGTTCTTTGAATTGTGTGTTATGGTATATATTGAGAAAGAGAAACTGAGAAGGAGAAAATGCACCAGTGGCAAACAGTTTACTTTTCGAAAGGAAAAGCCCAACGGTCTGGACAAAGTCAAAGAGAATCGAGAAGTAGAAAAAAATGTTTTCCTTGTTGGCAAAAGTGTTTTTATTGGTGGGAATGTTCCGATTAACTGACACAAACACAATATACAGTTTCTTGGAACTGACAGGTTGATGAAATCGGCTAACAGAAAGAATACTTTTTGTTGTTGACTCTACGGTTTAAAAATTGAAAAAGTGAACCTAATCTCTAAATTAATCAGGCGAAAGGCATTATTATGAAATAAATTGGCAACTTCAATAGGTTCAATATTTTGAGGTGACTGTAGCCTAAAGTCTTTAGGTCAAAGATTGCAGAGAAGACTCTGGGATGTCAAGAAACTCAAATAAAATCGATAAAGATTTCGGAGGCAAAATACCGTATATGTGCACGTTAACCGTAGTTATCTCGGTTCCTATGAGAGATATCAAATTTTGTCAACTCATACATTGTTTTTCATAATGTTACCTATATTTCATTAGTTGATAAATTTTTGATATTAGTTATAGGACCCGAGATAATTGAGCTCAAAGAGAACGTGTACAAGACCGGTCAAAAAAATATACAAAAACCCGGTTTTCAGTCGATTTTGGTCTTTATTCGGAGCTTAGAGCTCGGTGATAAAACTTCCGATCACTTCTTTGAAAATCCCTAGTTTTTTCAGCTATTTGTCGATTTCTGAAGGACACCCCCTTTTTCTCTTTTTGTACTGAAATCGTGATTCTGTGTTTTCCAAAGAAATTCTGTAAATGCAAAGTTTTCTGAAAATCCTCAAAATAAACTGAAAAACACGATTTTGCGTATCGTATTGACCGGTACTGTAGGGTAGACTTCTATTAGAGATAGTACAGTAGTAATGCCACCTAGTGAATGGGAATCGTAGTTTTTGCTTGCTCGAATTGGGATCAATTATAAACGCTCCACTTACTTTCAATCTTCTAAAATATTTTAGCAACGACATCGGTATACCTAGAAAAGAGCAAAACTCAAAAAGTGTTAAATTCTATGACAAATAAAACTTTTTGCCATCCGATTTACAGTTCATACTACACTATTAGCCTTCTCAATGATAAAAAAAAATTGCACGCAGTGGAGCCAACAACCAGTGACTTCACATCTAATCCGTTAATAATCTGTATTAACGGTGTAACAAATAGCATGAAGAACATCATACTTCACAACTTACTCGGATGAATCGGAGGAGCATTCGCAGGCTGCGGCAGAGAAATGAAGAAGAAGATAGTTTCGACTTCTCACTTATTTCCCAGACTTCTTCTCTTATAAAGTAAACTGGAAACGGTAGGTCAGAGAACGGAGAAAACACGTGAGCGATAGAATATTCTGTAGGTTACTCCAACTGCTCTCCGATAAGAAATCGGGTGCTCTCTGAACACACTTTGAAGTCTTTAAACCAATTGAACTCTCTGTAAACAAAATAATTCGATTCGATTCGCCTCAATTCGTTCGGGTGAAAGAAATTCCGGTGATAAACAGATTACGAACTGAATTGAGAAGCAATGTGTTGAAAGCGTGGAGCCCGCTTCCAGCTGAATTCATTTTTAAAAGTTTTTTAACCAGTCATATCGTAAAACCTGTAATATAAGGGTTCCCACAGTTTCAAGTTTGTGCTTAAATAAAATTGTGCTAAATATCAGACCCACTCATACCGTTAACTTTGAGCTCAATTATCTCGATTCCTGTAGAAGATATCAAAAATTTGTCAACTAAAAAATGTATGTGATATTAGGATAAAGATTTTATTAGTTGACCTGTTTTTGATATCTTTAACAGGAACCGAGAAAAATTGGCTCAATATTAAAAGTTAGGGTGCCCTTCTATTACAGTTTTGAGGGTATTTAGAATTTTTTTTGGATTATTTCGGGAATTCTGTTTGAATAATTAGAATTGTAAAAAAATTTTCATTCGGAAATTCGGAATTTCGAAAATTCAAACAGTACAGAAATACGGAAATCCGTTAATATCTGAACCTCGGAAAATTAGTCATTTGAAAGTTTTGTAACGTGCAAATTCGCAAATTCAATAAATCTAAATTCTGTGATTCAGGAGTTAAAAAATTTGAGGTCTATAAAAGTTATAAAACTTGAAACTCGGATGAACACTCAAAAATTCCAGAGCTTTCGAATTCGTGAAACTTTTTTCTGAAGTTCAGTGTTCCAGCATTTCTGAATCATAGACACTCTAAATTTCCGAATTTCTGAGCTTTTGAATTTTTTTGGGTTTCAAAAATTCCGAATAGAATTGAGAATGTTCTAGTTCTTATCTGATTTACAATTGTAAGAGTTTTTGAACTATCAAGTTTTTGATTTTCTGAATCTCCAAATTTGGACGTCTTGAATTTCTGTGAAAATTTTATGAAATTTCGGTCCAGTGGGGACTTAGTAAAAATAGAGTTTGAAGTGAAAAAAATCTGAATTTTTTAAATTCTTAAAAATTCTGAAATCTCGAATTTGCAGTTTTGGGAATTTCTCAATACGGACAATGCCATAGAATAGTTTGATTGTCAGCATCATTCTAAAATATTTTTCCAGGTTGTCTAAAAAATGCTGAAAAAAAGTTTGAAGTTTCAGCCATCAAAACCCCTGTTCTGTTAGTATTCATTAATTTTATTCACACACAAATTAGTGCACATTTTTTTAAAGCTGCCACACAGTGAGCAAAAACCAAAATAGATCTCCCATCTTCTTCATTTCTTCTCCACCTTATACATTTCTCGAATCTTCGTTTTTGTCACAATCTTTTTCTAATGAGAAAAGTACCAAAACTATTCTCCATAATTGTAGGTATTCGAGGAATTCTCTTCCACCTTCGTCCTCGTTTTTTAAATCTTCAAGGCTGTTCGTTTTGCCGTCAAAACGTTCTCTGAAAAAAAAGGTGCCAGTAGTCGATTGAAGATCACGATAACCTCAGGTGTCAAGAGTCAATCGGTTTCTTTATTCGGCGAAAAATACGAAGAAAAGGCTCTCTTCGACTGAAAGATACCATCTATTGCCTACCAGATGCCTATCGGACGAGACGTCATGATAATTTCATGGTCAATAACAAAGAAAAAGTAAACGGTCACTACCCCAAAAACAGTATTTTTTCATAAGTTTGATTTACAGCAGCATAACCTTGGAAAGTTCCTTTGAATTTTTGAATCAAAGGAAATAAGAAACCCCATGATCAAAGTCCCCTGTTCCCTTAAACTTCACACTTTCAGCAATAGATTCCTCAATCATCATCATCATCATCTCGATTGTAACATACAAATTCCCGGTGTCACGAGTTCCAGCCCATTTGGTCGCCCGTTTCCAGGCAGCAGCAGCAGCATGACCTTGTCATCCATCTGCCACGTCGTTCATCCGATACTTCTGAATTTGCATCTGAATCGGGGTGTGGCGCCGACGTCAAACAAGAAGAAGAAGATGGGATACATTGTACTTTTGACGCCAGTACTTTCATGCTAATTTGCATCGTGCCAACTTTTTTTGCAGACCCCAGAAATACGTCCTTAGGTTCGATGAACCGAGAAGACACATCCTAAATTCGTTTTTTCGGATTTTTTTTTTAAATTTCCTCAATCAAACTTTACAAAGTTTTAAATAGGTTAATGTTGCTAGAAATGAAGAATCATGAAAATCATTGTGGTTGGTTTCTTCGAAATTTTCGGATACCGTAAAAACTGTACTAGAAAGGCCGCTTTAATAGAAGGGCCCCTCTAATAGAAGGACCCTCAGAGAGGGACTTGGATAAACAGAAGGGCCCCCGTAATAAAAGGGTCCCCGTAATATAAAGGTCTTCTGTAAAAATTGATTGCTTTACATGAATTTCGAGCGAAAATTCGTCAAATTTTTCGATGAAAATTTTCGGAAAAAACAGCCGGAAAATAGAATGACCCTTTTAATTGTAGGGCCCCTGTAATGGAATCGCCCTCCAGAGGTGACTTGGAACAATAGAAAGTCTGACCCTTCAAATACAAGTTTTATGGTATCTATGAAAAAATTCCATGTAAGAAAGACGGTGCACTACCGTGGTCTAGCTTTCTCATTGCGCGGGAAATCAAATCCTCGTCCCTATTCGCAGCCTTTTTAATAAAATTTCAATGACGTTTTTTGGGATTTCGAATTCTTGGAAAAGTGTTTCGCGAAGCTAGGTTACCAAAAATGTTAATGCAATAAAAATGTTACCTCGATTCTATTTTCGTCCTGCAATTTTTACCCATTTTAAATGGGAAGGCACATTTGGCAACAAAACATATTCTGAATACTGTAGTTTCCTAAAAATATTCAAGAACCAGACTATCAAGAAAACAGATTCACAGAAAAAAAGTTTCCTTCACTTTCTATCACTTATCGTTTCTCTTATCTCTTTCATGTGTTTTTCATCCGGTCAGTTTCATTTTAACCCGAAAACGTCTCGAAGATCACCACCTGTCTTACTCTCTTCTTATCAAATAAACTCTCACTGGTTTTCTCTTTAACATTGTTTCTACTTTTTAGTGTAACAGTTCTTGTCTCCTTTCTGAAAATAAAAACGAACCGCTTTGCCTTGAAAAGTCATCCAATCAGCCAAACAAATTACCGTATTACCGTTCAAAAACTTTATTGCTAATTAATAGACAAAAAACACGTTTCGCGCGGGTC